GCAGAAAGACTTGTTAAAAATAAGTTATTATTAATATTAAATGAGCATAGATCCATAACAGGATCTGATACTGGAAGATTATGCAACTTTTGACCACTCGCTACACTCCATAATGATATACTGCTACTGGACTCTATGTATGCTGCGACTAATGTATCATCTTCTACAGACAAATAACATGGTCGAGATAAAAGTTGTTGAGAATTACCAGCTTGGAATGTATGTACGGCATTATATGTAATTATCTCTTCGTTAGATGTATTTCTTTCAATAGTACATACTATATGTCTTGCGTGTGGCTGCCTAGAATTAGGACGAGATGATATAAGACAATGATGATTTTTTTCATCATAGCGTACTGAAATAAAAGGCCCCTCTATAAACATCTGTTTAGATAGATAATTGGTATCCTTAATTTCATATGTATAACACGTATTTAAACGACATGCTATAAATCCACCTCTTCCGATACCACTGCCAGGATTTGGCGGCACTCCTGCCATTGATACAACTGGTGATTTATCCCCGTTACCCTCTAAGACGCTAAGAGCAGAAGAAGTTTGTCTAATATCAAATTGAGAGATAACTCCATTTTGCGCACCAGTCAGAAAAACGTTTGGATTGTCACCTGACCAACAACAACTCCAAAGTGGATATTCTGTTTGGTATGTGTGCACCGTCACATTATTTTGGATGTCCACTAGCTTAGCACATTTATCAAAACCAACACTAAGAAGAATTGTTTGTTGCGTGGAATGAAAAGTCAAATCTCTTATAGCTTGAGTGTGTAAGAAAATAAATTGCCGTAAATTGAAGCATTCACAATCCATTTTCCTTATGCCATATCCATTGAATAATGTGGTTGTTGACTTTTGAGAAACAGCCAGTAATTTATACCATGGATTATAATCCAAGACGCGACAGCCACCATCCTTACAGATTTCTACAGATTGTTCTAAATGAAATTTCCTTGAAGTAAGACTTGATCCACTTGGACAAGTATCAACATTGATTTTTGATTTTTGATTTTCCAATTCGGTAATACGTTTTTTCATGCTATTTACGTGCTCCTCGTATACTTTTAGACGAATGTTAGCGCAGGCTAATTCCTTTCGCAAATTATTCTTTTCAGCTGACACCTTAATCAAATCCTTTTTCAGATTATCATACTCGGTAGAGTCAATTGCTGTCAGCTTTTTCGCATATAGCATCCTAATATGTTTCACCGAGGCTTTCTTATTGCATTGTGGGCAACGGCGATTCGTACTGTTGCAAGAATACTGTAACCACCTTAGAATGCAACTATGCCCGAAGAGATGTCCACAGCGTAAACAGCACAAACGATGTTCTCCTGAGCTGGTCCATTGCTCCATGCATATTGGACATGACTGATCAGAGTCTACATCTGAGACATCCAAGTTTACACTCATTGCATTTGCTACAAGAGAACTAATTTTATTTAGTCACAGTCACAATTATATACATATCCAAAGAGTTTATAAAAGTTTTACACTGCGATAATTCTATTACATAATTATAATACATACTTTGTTGTGAACTTTTAGTTCCATCACTTTCTTCATTATTTTGTATATCATTAGGAATAACATTTTCATTTTCATGTTGATCTTCTACATCTTGCCCTTCTACTTGCATTTGCTCTTCTACTTGCACTGGCTCTCCTGCTTGCACTTGTTCTTCTGCTTGCACTTGCTCCTCTATTTGCATTTGCTCTTCTACATTTTCATCTGTAACAATAATATTGCCAAATATTTGCTGACTTGAAGTCTAATATTGTAAACAAATATTAAACATTTGATATCCTTCCTTATTATAAAAAGTACATAATTGTTAATTACATTATATTCCACAAGTCGAATAACAAATTATAATAACAAATTATGTCGAAAAGATAAATATGCATATTCTTTTTGTTCATTGTATACTCACTGCCTTCCATAACCTTTAATTTTTATTCGATCATCGACTAGACTCTTTAGACATACATAAAATACGTGATCTCCTTTTCAATTCGATATCTATTGTAGATTGGGACACACATAAGACTATTTAATAAATCGTCTTTTTCTCTTTTTAATCGTTAGACTATATAAATTGATCGAAAAGCCGGTTGATTTGTTGTGAAAACAATAGCATTAAAGATAGAGGTAGAGCAGATTATGGAAATAGGACCTGTCGATCCTTGGAAATTCGTCGGAGGCGAATTTCTATTTGATATAATTTTGATTAAAATACCGAATGAATTATAATTACGAATATATGTCTGTGACAGCCTATGTATCTAATATTAGATGTAATTAGATGTAATGAAGAGAAAAAAGGGAAAGACAAAAAACTTTTAAATTTTGAAGTAACACGACAAATATACTTAAATGAGTTGTTTACAATAATCTTGACTGGCGTTTAAAAGAGTACAAGTCGCTT